CCCTGCTCCTATACTAGATTGAATATATTCTCTTTCTTTGATGGATATTCTTGGATGATTAGCTGGTCTGTCGTGTGTTAACATTGTCCACATGATAAACCATAAAACACCGACACCACCTAAAAAAAAAAAAAACGATCAAATTTAGGGAACTTCCACACCTCCAATGTTTAAGGATGTGAATGCACATGCAGACTTCTCTGTTCATTAGCTGTAAGACAACGAGACAACTTAAGCAGCAGCATCATTAAATAGAGGTAGCAACCCTATCCGCTAATCAAAGGTGTATTCTAGAAGCAGTGGTGTCAGCTGGGGCAGGTTGGTATGTTTTCTCGCTCTAATCTTAGTAGACTTGTCACAAGTATGTGAGAGCACAGGACGCTCGCAAAGCGAGTCAAAGCCTACGTGCAGCCACTCCCTCACTTCAAACGGATTCAGGAAGTCTCTCTCCCTGATTTCATTATTTGCTCAAAGGATAGAGAATTAAATCAAACCAGCAGAAACTCAGCAGAAACTGGAAATTGGTTTTGAGAAAGCCTGGCTATCACCATTAAGTTACGAAATGTAAATGACAAAATCGCAGCCTTACCACAAACAAATATGTCTTGCCGAACAAATATGTCTGAACAGTTTCACAAAGTTACTCTTTGCAATATTATTAATTTTTGTTTAATCTCCTTTTTACATGTAGTTTGACTATCCTTACCTTCCTTTTCATCTGCTATAATATTTACATGTTCTTTGATTGTCTCAAGTGAATATTTTTATAATTTAATATTTTCCTTTTGGCTGGTGGCCTGCTGTTGACCCATGGAATTTGGTTTAACTGCGTGGCAGTCAGAAGATGCGTCTGGGCGTCCTAGTGAACATGTGATGCCTTTAAAAAGATATGTCATCTTTTCATGAGAGATGGAGAGGTTCTAATCACCTCCACTGCAGGGTAAACACTAGTCTGCTACATAGCTGTTTTTAGTGTTGTCACGCAATGCTCCTCCCCACTAACAGCTGCTGAAAACTGAACTACATTCCTTTCCCGTGATTAGCCAATTATAATTCAGCTTCCATTTTCTGGAAGGTGTTCACGCCACGTTTGCGGTACTGTGACTCCTCCAACCCAGGTTGACGACAACCCCACTGTAGTTAATTGCTTGTTTTCAAGCGACAATTTTAATAATATTATTCTGTCACTCACACATGGGGCACCGATAGCAAAGCTGTGATTGGAGGAGTCACAGTACTGCAAACGTGGCGCGAACACCTTCCAGAAAATGGGAGCTGAATTATAATTGGCTAATCACGGGAAAGGAATGTAGTTCGGTTTTCAGCAGCCGTTAGTGGGGAGGAGCATTGCGTGACGACACTAAAAACGGCTGTGTAGCAGACTAGGTAAACACTTACCAAAGATATAAAATACAGATGGCCATCCTCCCCACAAGTCAGATCCACAAAGAACTCCTGCCATTGGCATACCCAGGATGGTGCCAAGTTGAAGGCCTTTGTGATAAATAAACAAGAAAAATAAGCAAGTACTCTTGTACTAACAAAATAGAGAAGAAGGTCAACGGCAGAACGTCACTGCCAAAAGACACGATAATCTAAACTGACATGAGGTTTTTTTCACACTTGCAGTGTAAAGGTCATGATCTTAACAGTATTTTTTCAAGACCCTGGTTAAGTTGGTGGTCTAGTCGGAAATTGAACTCATGGCCACCCTCTCAGCAGATTGGCAGATTTCCAACCGAGCTACCAGGTGGCAGTTAACAGTGGACTTGATTTAAAATGTACATATAGCAGTACGTACCTGTATAAGATAAAGTGACCAGTTTGCTCCGTTCTAATGGAGGGGCCCAACTACTCCACATGGCATGCATAGCTGGGAACGTCACACCCTGCATGAAACAACATGACGTCAGGGAGATTCTTACAACAGAACTTTCAGAGCAGCTCTGTTTAAGTGCCTGTGTACTTGCACAGATTGTAAACTATAGGAGTGTGGGCGAGATCTATCGAAGGTCAAACCACTCTTGCTCCAACACTGTGCTATGCATATGTTTCAAATGGTAGAAGATCAAAACACAAATGATCAGAATAAGAGTAAAGTAAGATCCAAACATGCTTTCAAGATCAAATTGCATTCTATGCATTCCACTCATTCTTAGTCCAAGTCCATTAATTACCGCACATGCATAATAATCTGGAGATCAGGACTGTGGACTGCTCTCCTCACCCGCAATAATTAATGCGGATAGAAAAACGACAAAAGAGTTTGGTTTTAAATTGTAAATAAGAGAGGATTAAAGGTGTAAAAGTACATGAATATCTTGTGGTTCAATTATTTTACCCTTGGTTTCAATTTTATTTTCCTTTGTTTAGAAGTATGGTAATGTATGAGTTGAAAACAAAGGGAAACAAAATTCAAACGGTACAAAAGATAAAATTCCACAACAAATAACCCTAGTGCTGGGGATTAGCTTACAATGATTTGTGAGATTTAGAATCAGATGTGTCATTAATGTTTACTCAAATAGTGAACTGTAACATGTGACCAAGTTTTCCTTGATCTAAATAAACACAAAAATGGTTTAATAAGAGAGTAATTAAGAGAGTCACTAAGGGCAAGAGACTCTCAGCATTAAGGATTACCTGTTCCTTTTTCCATAAGTAGGTATAATTAACTTAAAAAAAAATAATCTGAAAGAGGATTGCTAATGGTTACTTGCCAAGGGATTTTTACAGCTGGAACCACTTTAATATTTTTAGTTATTCCACTCGCTACCATGCTGCTGGCAAACTAAGGTGACTGATTTATGTGTATTACAAACATAGCCTAAATGTAATTATAAGGGCTGCCTTTTGTCATGACTTTTACCATTCAATTAACTTGCATTTTACAATGTATTTGTTGTTGTCCAAATGTATGGGATTAATTAGAGAACTAAAATGGATCAAATGTGTACAGAAAGTTAACAACTAAATAGTTTACCTCTCCTAATCCTTCCAATATTCTCACCAGAATTAACATTCCAACACTATGACGTGCAGCAAGAGGAGTGAAAATTGTCAACACAGAAGTGCAAAGCACTCCAAGGCCAAATAAATGCTTTCCACCAAACCGTGCTCCCAGCCATCCACCTGGTAACTGAGTGATGATATATCCATAGAAAAATGAACCCAGGATAATACCTACAGAGCCAAAATACAAGCATCAAACTTTAAAAACTAAAAATTGAAATAAAGGAAGAGCAAACTGATGGTGCCTCCACGCAGTAGCATCCAACATCTCGTAATTTGGTGGGACAACATCTCAAACTGAAGAACGGGAACTGTATGATCACCTCCCAAAGCTAACTAACAAGATCACAGAATCAGGCCATCTGATAGGGTGCAATAAAAAATCAGAAATTGTGCGATATTTTCAGGGTAGTTTCCATGCGATAAGATAGGACTATTATGCAATAAATTACGCGATTTTTTTAGGGCTAATTTACATTGTTTTACCAGGTTTCAAAGAAGAAAAACCATTTAACAGGCAATTTGAATGTAAAGGAATAATAAAACATCTATTTTAAAACAAAATAGTTAAATTTGTCCGATTATTTTGACCCGGAAAAGAAAAAGGACACTTGCTTAATATTACATAATGCTGTTTCACCGCTGACCACACTGCTTGTCTCTGAAATCAAAATGGCTGCCCAGATACCGCGATCGAAGGTTTCGGATGCCTTGCAAGGCTTTCTTTAGTGGTAAATCACCATAAATAACATTACGATTGGGAAAATGTGTAATTAAAGTTAGAATTCATTGTTTACTTTACTTGAATTTAGCATTTTTTTAAGAATTATGCGATTTTCCTCAAATTGTGCTATCAGATGCGATTTGAGGTCGATTGTGCAAAATCGCACTATCGCATAATATCAGATGACCTGTAGAATTAATTAGCCAAGGATACAGGCAAAGCTCCCATTAATAATTTTTTTTACTTCAAACAAAAAATGTGTAACCATTACAAGGAAATCTACTTGGAGTTGAGCCTGTAATCAGTTGAAAACTAGTAAATATAACTTATCAGCGGGAAACTTCAACATGTACCCTCGATGGGTCGACACCTGAGCCAGTGAAACAGTCATGATACTGTTCAGTGACTACCCTGTTTTGACAGCTGTCAATTCACCCCAACACGGATGTGCAATATCAGGTGACGGGCTGCCATACTAGCTAAGAAAGTGTGAGATATCACATTGGTTGGCCTGTGGTGTGAACGAATGGGTGAACGGATGGATGTCCACCAGGTGCACTACCAAAATTTCTCGAATAGAATTTTCTAAGCTTTAGGGCTCCTTTGCGCACGTGTAGAGCTCTGCTAAAAGTAGGTGCTCATTTATAAGAAACAAAAACTTTATTCAAAAGGCAAATTAAACAGATTTAGCATGCAGTTTACCTTGTGTTTTTTGATCCCAGTTAAACTCCCCATCCTACAAAACAATTTTGATAATCACACAGTCAAAAAGACTGAATCTAAAATGTTTGGACACATTTATAATGATTAAGAGGAAAAAGGAGCTCACCTCTCATCTAAATACTGCCCTGCACTCAATAAGGTCTGTCGCTTAAGAAAAAAAATCTAACTTTCTTTTTGTAAAAATCCAAAGAAATGAAAAGCACCATCCAAAAGTTTCCTTTAAATTGTAACACTATGGGATTTCTTCCACAGACTCAAAAGTTAGGACTACTCTGTACATTCTAACATTAATAAATAGTACCAAGTGAAAGTACAGATAAAAATAGGTAATTTTTACTGGCATGGTTGAATAACCCAAGGACTCAAGGTTAGAACTAAATACTAAATAAATTAGCACTACTAAAGAGGGTCATTCACTTGGATGGTCCCATAGATCGAAAAGACTCAAAAGTTTATTGATTCATGTAAATACAGACAAAACCCCATGTGCGACCACCTCTCATATAAAGCAACCACCTCCCATCCAAGTACACTCAGTAAGCAACCACTTATCAAAAACAGCTAAATTTTCTGGAGTTTTGAATGACATTGAATACATATTTAAACAGGTTTAGATCAATGCATAACACGTTCGAACCATGCGATGTTGTGGAATGCCTGATATATCTTGATGGCATTGCATGTTCCCAGTCTTGCGTATATTGTGACGAAACAACATCCTGGCGTCCATGGTGGAAAAATAAAACCCCTGGAAATGCCATTTCCAAGACTCTAAATTTCAAAATGTCCCTAGATGCCTCAGTCAAGAACTTGTTCCTCTGGTACAAGTTCCAAAGCTGCCTACTATTCATTATCTGCCTGCTCTTAAAAACTTTTTGACGGCTCTGAGCGACCACCAACTCCTCGCTTTTTGGGTGGTTACTCACAGGAGGTTTGACTGTAGAATTCACATGCAAGCAATTGAATGGTACGAACAAAGGTTTCCAGGTTTCCATCTTCAATCATACTTTAAAGTATTAATAGTAACAAATCATTGCACTGATAACAAGTGTTAAATTGACATTAACACTGGCGCTTTCAAAGACGGGTTGGAAAAACCATGCATTTGAAAAGGATAAACCATAAACAATGAGACCTTGCGAACTTATCGCTACAAGTTGTCAGTGCAAATTATTTTTAAGTGTGCTGTAGAGTCCCACATTATCACAAGCTTCTAGCTTCTGCAGATACATTCCAACAAGTTTATAAAGCCATTCAATTGTGTTTGCCACTGCAATAACCTTCTGAAGACCTTCACTTTATGGAATTTTTTTTCTTACAGACTGGTGACATTGCAATTTTTATTACTGTTAATTCAACAGTGTAATATGATCAATAAAATAGTGAATCTCTCCAGACTCATTTAAAAGTTTCTTTCCTCTGGCACCATTTGGCAGATGACGCTATCTGCTGGATAATATCGCCTCTATCCTTCGGGTAGTGCAATTATAGTTCCCCTATTTCTAATAATATCCACTGCATAGTGATTTACATCCGCTGGATAGTGCTATCCAACATTTGAGTAAGTGGGGCCTGGACTACAAAACAATGGTGTAATAACAGACCGAGACAAAAACAACAACAACAACAAAAACAACAACTAGAATAAATCCACAATACCTAATATTTTAATAATACATGTGCATGTAGTATAATTAATAATAATGGTAATTTTGGCCCATGGCAAACCATCTAGACGTCAAAAGAAGTTGACAAACACATGGTGTCTCCAAAGGACACATGTAACAATACTGATTTGAAAAGGATATCATTCAATGCAGTGTTTATATACACAACAAGCGTGACAATCGCTCAAATATTAACCACACATGTTGACATAGACATAGCGCAACTTAAATTCTCGGCAAATTTTCAATCTTGGACTACTTTATTCGACGACGATAAAGCTAATACAACGAATCACATCAGTGTTTTTTCATGACGCATGTGACTGTCATGCACATATTGTTCTTTCCAGCCAAAGCACGTGAAAGTACGGTCGATTAACTTGAACATACATGTACTTTATACTAAACACGTTGCCTTCTAACCTTTTGCTTTGAATCTGTGGAAGAATTTCTCTGACATTCCGGGTTATTTCCAGAGGCCTGTTCGTTTGCGTAGGTGGAATTGACCATGGCCACCAGAGCCACGCTCAAATTCACTCGGAGAAGATACACCACACAAAAACCCGAACAGGACAAGGCTGCTAGAACGTATCGAGTGGGTATATAGCATCTTGACTGCCGGCCAGATTTACAACTGGTTTTTTGCAGGAGTGGTAACGCCTCCTCCATTGAAACCCACACAGTTAAAAAAAGAGAAAAGTAAATGACGTGAAATAAATACTGAAATCACGAGACTTCAGATTTTCGAAATACGCGGCAATGCCTGGGATCTAGATAGACGAGCGAAGGCTCTGGGAACTAGTTTGCAGAGGGCTATTGAATTCGCCTAATTCTCTCTTCCTTTGTTGACTTTGTTTTGTACGGAAAATAAATGAAAATAAAAGTATTAATTAGTCCTTTTATTTATATGTTTTCTTCTGTTCTATCATATATTTTGTATAAATTATATCTATATACATAGACTTTTTACTAAAGTATTGGAAGAAAGATCAGAAAGATTATGTCATACTGAAAAATATAAATTTTATTTACCAGCTTTATCAGCTGTTCTGGACACAGACCTGCCCAGAGGGATAACGATTATGCACGAACGGGGCTCAGGTCCTATGCGAGGTGTCATAATACCCAATGATCCCACAACCAGTAAAGGCTGACCACAACACCGGGGCCCGGCTCTGACAACCCCTACTCTTTTCGAATAGTGACGTCGGACGGCAGGACTTTTCCGCGGGTGGTGGGTGGCGGGTGGCGGGTGACGGGTAGTGGGTGGCAGGTGGCGGGTGAGGGGTAGCGGGTGACGGGTGGTGGGTTAAAAATATATATGAAAATAAAATATTATAACTCGTTATAGTATAATTGATATTGATATAACTGTAGGTTGTAATTTGAAAATGATTTCAACGTTTATGTACTAGCTACCAGACTCCAAATAAAAGTATTGTCTTGTTTTGTCTTATCTACTTACGCGGACTAAAAATGGATGTTACTAAAACGGGGAGCGGGGAACGGAAGTCTGGGAACGAGTTGTCAGCGGAAACCTCCAAAAAAATCCAATATGGCCGATGATCGATGATAGAGAACCGTCGAAACAAACTTAACCGATAACGGCGTTATTTTACTTGAACTATATGCTCATGAGGTGCTTGAAATAATACGGAGGTAATAACTTCATGACGTTTTTCACCTTTTTGCGTTTTACTAAACAATTATCCGTAGGAAACAAAATATGCTCCAACAGCAGTTGAAAGAAGCCAATCGGGACAAAAAGTCTCAAAGCACATGTACAGCCATATTTGGAACTCAAGCGAATCTATACTGAGTCTAGCCCACAAAGCAATGAACTACTTTTCCATGATAGATAACATAAATCGAAGTAGTCAAGTAGCTTGTGTGCAGACTTCTTCTATTTCCTTTGATAGAGATGACTGCTTTGAAAAATGTTATTGACCAGGTCATCACATAATTAGTAAGACTACTTTAACAATCTGGTTCTGCTTTTAATATCATTAGATCCACTACACTGCAAGCATTCACGATATTGAAGTGTTTTACTGATCCATGAAAATAAATTAATCATTTTATTATTTTGTGTAACAATTTGTTTCAGGTCAGTTTGCCCAGTATAGACCAGTATAATGACCCTAATGGAACCTAATTCACTCATTTTCCTTACCCTAATCAGTAACTACTTCAAAGTCGTACAGTGGCCATTTGTCTTTCTGCGAAATACCCCTGACGACCCTTTCCTGAATCAAAACCATTGGATTGCATTGAATACAACACTCTCACTCACTGCAGTTCCTCAATTAACCCCCCGCCCCCCTAAGAATGAGATCCCAAACCCCTCCCTTTTGAAGAAAAATGTCGTAAAATAATCAAAGTACCTCTTCATGGGCACGAAACGTTTGGTGCAATTCATACCATACAATATCGCTGTATCAAGTACTGTTCTCGGTGCAGGAGGAGGGGGTACTATAATGGCCTAAACAGAGCCTGAAGCCTTTTTCAGGCTTCAGGTACATGAAAGGGAAGGGGTTTTTATAGTTGAAGTATATAAAAGGGACCAAAATGAGATCAGTCACAGATGCATTTTATGTATGTGAGAGACAAGAAAACCTGTTTTAGCTATTTATTCATATTGTAAAGATGGTGTATTTACAGCAGTTAAAAAGGGATGCAGCATTCAAAATTAGGTATGTGAAAGGGGTACCATTTGTCACTAGAGGGTATACAAAAGGGGTACCTTTTCTGTCTAAAATGGTACATACAAAGGGTAAAGGGTTGGTCCCTGGGGCAGAGCCTCTTTGGTGAGTACCCCCCCACCCCCTTTGGGTTACTGTTACTCTAGTCTGATTCTTCTCTTTAATTTCTTTGATACTGTGCCTCATTAAATGAATTAAAATTCATTTAAAAGCTTTTTGCCCCTTTTTTGAAAACCCCGATATGTTAAAAGAAATTATTTCCCCTCCATGGGTAGCAAGATCTATTGTGTTATTTTACATGCACTGAGTAAGCGTAATGTCGCCACTATACACATACAGTTGCGCGTGTTTACTGAAAAACATATAGGCACTCCAATCTTTTGCTTCCCATCACTTGTGTGAGACCTCAGACTCTTTATTTCCAAAACTACAGACAGCTTGCTTGAAGGCTTATCAACCACCTTCTAATAAGCTGCCAACCTCTGCAACATTGATGATGTGATGCTTGATGGTAGGTGCACTGCAATATTACTGAATCAAGCTAATAAAGCAGCTTGACAATATTAACTGGTTTAAGTCACTGATACATTCAGTTTTACACTGAGCTTGAAATATTTTTTTCCACAGTAAAAATAATGTTCATTAAAGAGAAGCAGAGCTCCCCTCTGCGAAAACATTTAAGGAGTCCCCCTAGAAAAAAAAAAGCATCCAGAGGGCTAAACAAAGGAAGTATACTTACCATGCATATTTTAACAGCTAGCCTTTAGAAAGTACCTTCCAACCAAAGACTTTAAAGTACTTCCCCCACGTATACTTGCAACACTTAATATTGCAGCTCAGTTGTGGTTCACTTTTATCCTAAGTTTGAATTCTATTCTCTTTGTTTTGAACTCATAATCATAAAATTCATATTACCGTACCCCCAAACAAAGGGAAGCAAAATTTAAACCTAGGTTATAATAAAATAAAACCACAGCATAGCCATTTGCTTTGAAACAACTGACATCTTTAAGACCAAGGTATGATTGATGTTCCTGGCACATTGCCCGTTAATATGTTTATAGTTGCCTTTTATTGATGTATTAAATAACCTGATCCATCTTATCTTTTCAAATAATACAATTGCACTTACTTCTCATCATAGGTTTGTAAATATAATATTATTAGACTTACAGTTTTATCTCATCGCCAACATGTTTTAATTTGGGCTTGAAAAAACGCTACAGCTAGGAA